TTTGGAATGTTATAGAACAGTCTAAATCTTGTTTTTAGTGACGTTTAAGTATCTTTTTCGTTACCCTAAAGTACTATGGCAAAAGAATCTGGTGTGCTTTTGTCCTTCATTTCTAAAAGAAGCATACTTATTTACCCTTGAGCACTGCTCTAGGTTGCTAAAGCCTAAAATAGACTACAAGTGGAAGCCGGAAAACTTCGACTTAAACTTTGCACTTACTACATTTCTTCGAAAAAACATATATGAGTCCCTCAATAGAGAACACTATTTGTACAATTAGTACGTTCAGAGAGAAAATTTCTTCGTGTTTTATATGCTATAGTATTTTACTACTGCCTTTACATTTGATCTAGCTAAAGTACTTGAGAAATGATTAGAATTCAAAAAGTATATCTAATAAATACGATGGTTGAACCTTTCTCATTTCATTCATATAAAATATCATAATTATTTTTCACCATTATGAAAACAACTACTAAATGTATGTATTATGGAATTAAGCCTTCTTCAATAAATAAAACTATCTTCAAAAAACACTCCTATTTGCTATCCGTGAAACACGACAGATCAAACATAGTTTTGTTGTTCCTTCTATTGTGATAAAAAAAATCTCTTATGTGTTGATGAGAAAAGGAATTGATACAAGTGAAATCAAAATCAGAAAACATATATTGATAAAAGCCCTTTTCTTTTCTTCGATTCTGATAAGTTATTCTTTTTTTTCTGAATTAAATATTAAATTATTTTATAAATATTTTAATCGAAAATAATAAATAAAATATTGTCGTAATATTTTTGTTTTTTTTTAATTTTATATTTGTTATTGGTTTAATAATATCGAGTTATGTTAATTGAATTGAACCATTATAATACAAAATGCGATACAATAAAATTAACCTTTTTAAGGTAAACGAATGAGATGAATAATAACATTTTCATCTCTGTGTTGTAATAACATTTCGCCTTGAAATTTTAAATAACCATGTTTACGTGCTTTCAATAAAACACCAACTAATTTATCTGAAATATCCGCATAAATCTTGAAAGAAAAAAAAAATTTTTGTAAAGAATTTTAGTTAAATGAAATGTATAATATACTTCAAATAAATCACCAAATGTAATTGTTATTGTTTCATCTTCTTGTTTTTTTCCATTAGTTTGAATTACTTGACATAATTGTTTCATTTCTTCTAACACTTGTTCTTGAACTTCATGTCCACGATGAGCTAAACTAAAACAAAGGATGTATGAAAAATAGATATCGGATTGTTTTGTATGTTACGAAATTCAATTGACTTACTCAGCTTGATCCGCTGATGGTGGTGCACCAGTTTGATTAACTATTTCTTGAAATTTATTGACTCGACTGGCCAAATGATTTTTTTTTTCTTTTGGACGTTTAACAAATTCTTTATCATATGGCATACTTTTGTCACTGGTACTCATAATTAAGTGCGATATAAGGAAACTACTATTTGTGTTCCGTTAAACGTTTCTAATAAGAAGAACTAAAAATATCGGAAGTCTTATATTGCAAATAAGAGCAAAGAACGTGTATATATATATATGCCCACACAAAACAACAACAGTAATACTTAAGTCAAGAAAGAACAAAAATGGACACAACATAATCATTCGTAGGCATATAGTGTATTGATTCATGTATACAGATATAGGCTATCCTAAGAACATGTCTAAACGATGATGACAGAAGAAAAAAGTAGAGATCACATGGATAAGAAACAACTTTTATTGCGTCATTTCGTCTATGATACTATTTTAATCTTTTGACTGTTAATCGTAGTACTCTTAATGAAAAATAAAATAAATATTTAAGAAACAATTAAATTAATTCTAACAAAAGCTCATACATATCCTATGAAATGTTTATGATATATTTACGTGTCTTGAAAATGACGTATATAAAGAAAGAGAAAAAGGCCATTCATATTGACAGGATTTGTTTTCCTTTGTTTTTGCTTCAAAAGCTATTCGTATTTATTTTCTTGTGTGGATATCTGCAATAATTTGTACTGAGAAGCTTATTCTTGGTTTTTCTGTACAGAATGTGTAATAATATTTTTCCAAGGAGGTTGAGCTATCATTTCGAATAGCATACATAATAAGTTTTGTACTAAATTAATGCTCGTTAGAAATATAGCTGATTCATCCGAATCAATAGAGAACATGCAGATATGTTGGTGTCGATTATTGAAAATATATGAATTATAGATGTGACACAAGCTTTTCCAAAACAACGAGATCTAACTAGTTTGTTAAGTAAAAATAAAAAACATATATGAATATGGCAAAAATTCTGCATTAATTATAGTTTTCATATAGAATTTTAATGCAATATCGGACTGACTTCATTCATTTGTTCATAGAAAGAGAACAATGTCTAGTATAAAAGATACGATTACAAATTTTTTTAGTCGAATATATTTGCTTGACCTTTTTCCTTTTCCACTTTCGATATTTATCAGAATCATATATATCTTTTGTTCAGTCTTGTATTTACTTATATTGAAAATTCAGTATAATCAACAATTTCCTTCCTGAAACAACTAGAAGTTTATGCAATGTATTACACTGTGGTTTGTTATGGCAGTTGTATTGCTACCATAATTAGTTTTATTGTAATTTCTAGATATTGGTTCGGTGCTTTTCATCAGCAGGTCAAAGATAAAACATTTCTATCCAAAGTCCTTGCATCTACACCAGACTGTTGATTAGGTCAGAACATATCGCTTACATGTTAATTGCCTGATATTCTCGTTAGGAACAATAGTTACGATAGAATAAAAATAATTTGTTAAGTTATATTTATGAGAAAATATAGTCAATTGAATTGTAGAAGGATTGATTTTGTTTTTAGAAATCTATTTGTAGCTCTCGTTCGATGATCTTTCTCTATTCCACAAGATATATAAAACTTATTGCTGAAATATCTTCCTGTGTATAGTTTACTATGTAGTATGAGAAGTTAGATAGAAATATTTTATCTATATAATCAGTCTATTGTACGGAACTACTATCCAAGAATTTTAGATGAAACTAATAATAGTTATCAGACAGCTACGACAACAAATATCGGTTTCAACTATATCATAATATATAAAATAAATTTGCATTTATCTTAAGAAGCCTTTGCTTTTGAAGAATGAAAATTGTACAGCAAGTTAACTGATAAAATATACATGTGCAATATAAATATCTGACCAAACAATAATATTACACAAAATAAATAGAAAAAAATAATTGTTCTGTTCATTTTTTTGGTCAGGAAAATATACCTATACAGCTGTTTATTACAATGAAGGTTTTTGTGTAATATTAAAAGAATTGGTCTGGCATACAAGAAACTGAATAATAGATAGTTTAACTAATAATTCAATTTGGCGTTGACAGCATGAAAGCAATGTTTTGTTTGTATATAGCATAAAGAAGCTGTGCTATATACCAGATAATATCGTTGAGTAGAGGACTCAATAAACTTCCATTTTCATATATGTATATATATTTATATATATATATATTAAATGGCTTCGGATAAATTCTCTCTCAAAATTAAATTAAATTTTTCGACTGCAATTGTAGGTTATGAAAGATCAGTAATACCAGAAAATATTATAAAAGCATTCCTATCAGCCATTATTAGATAAGTACGGTATTTCTTTTTTCTTTTTGGTATGGTACATGTGACCTATCCTCACATTATAAAACTTGGAATAGATGAATTCAAGAATAATCTTTCTGATCCAATGAAGTTTTTCTAATCAAAGTCCTTTATATAGTTTTGGACTGGATATGTAACTCTTTCTACAATAAAAAGAATGAAGTCTCTATAATATTGCATTGTAATTTTATATCACAAACCAAAATAAATACGTAAATGTTCTCCCAAGCGTTGGCAATCTTATTTTGATTTTTTCTAATTCATGAAGTCATAAAAATAAAAGAAGATTTTACTGTATCTATAATTCATAAATTTCCAGAATTTGACAGGAGAAATTTCATATAATTCTTATAGATTCATATAAATTTGTTTTTTTTCCAACGAGCTTTAATTTAATGTAAAATTTCTCATTTATACTATTTGATATGACAATAGTATCTCGATAGAAATATATATTATTAAACATCCTGAATATCTCTCACTACAAACCACGTTATTTTTCATTCTTTTCTCATCCAATTGCTTTTTCAATGACGAGTAGGTTACATGAATTGTAGAATTTAAATTCTAACACAGAAATAATTGCTATTTTCCATATAGAATTTTATCATCATTGATAAAATTAACTCTATCATGAAGTTTTATCATAATGATTTTTCTCGAAGCAAAATAGTAAATCAGTATGAATGTAAGATCTACTGTATGGAAACTATCTTTTCAGTTTTTTTTTCCAAAGTATCATTCTATTTCAAGGATTGCTTCTTCGTTTAGTGTATTAATACAAAGCATAACTGTAATGATCATGTATTTAGCCAAAAATTATTATGACAACAATCCAAAACAGAATCTATTAATATTTTAAAAAAGCAAATAATAATCGTTTTATTTTTTCGCCGTTAAAAAAATATCATAAAGTTCATATTCTACTCTACGTAATCATCTCAAATTTACATGGTTTCATGATATATGGAATGTTTTGTTTTTTAAAGTCAAAAAAGCACATCTAGAGACATAAGCATTATTACCAATATATAATATCATTGAAACATTTTATTCAACGAGTGATAATATAAATTGTCGTTTCAACATAGACTTAATTTAAAAAAAAACATACTTATTTGTCTTATATGTAGACGTCAAAACAAGAAAAAAAAACAAAGAATTCATGAAACAAATACAATCATTTTAAGGAGATGATGCCAAAGTAACTTTGTTTTGTTTTTCTTTTTTCTTCTCTGTATTGAATACAATGATGAAGCTGACAGAGTGAGAAAAAAAAGAAATTCGTTTGACGCACGCTTATGTATGCATTTAGTTAAAAATGTCATCTCAAGTTGAAAATCAACGATCAATATCACGTACAGATTTAATTAGTATAGATCGACCTGATACATCACAGGTAGTTAAATAAACAATATAATTAAAAAAATCTGTTGTTTAGTTAGTTGATCTTCATATTTATATAATACCAAAAAATGTTTGGAAAAATCGTCAAAATTTAGCCGAAAATGAAGTAATAAAACAAGCTGTATCAGCAGGTTTTGTTCAGTAAGTTATTTGAATAAAATTTTAAGAAAAAAATTCATATAATTTGTTTTTAAAAGTGTTCCCGAAAGCTTAACTATTAATGTACTTCGTCAATATATTATTGATATTTGTGGTGAAGAAAAGAATTTTCCAAAAGAATTTAGTTATCTTCGAAGTGTTGGTCGATGTTTAACTAAAGTTAAACCTCATCAAGAAGAAGAATTAAAAGTGAAAAATTATCGACCACCAATGGTTTGTAGATTATTAAATATTTTAATTAATCCCATTTGTCCCGTCCCGAATTTTTTCGAATTATCCCGAAAAATCCCGTTTGTCCCGTAAACGGAAAAAAATAAAGATGTGGTTTTGTTCAATAGCAGTACGTGTCTTCTATATACGTTCAATCGAAACAATTTATTCATATCTATGATTATGAGATAATTTATGAATTTCTGATAAGTATTATTGACTATACAATGTCGATCAGAAAAAATGTTCAGATACGGATAAAAGGAGGGGGGCCGATAAGACTTCAAATTGGCCCATATCCAATTTCTAAAACTCCTATATATCATTCGATGTAGAATTTTATGCTGAGTCGTTTGGTAGTAATTTCAAGTCGCTTCGATCGTATCTAGGGTAATAACGACCCCAAATACTATCACTATCGACATGGTTGCTGTTATCACGGAATATCTTGTCAATAACTTTGTACAGAGATATTCATTTCATTTCATGTTAGTCTCATTAGATAGAGCATTCAATTCTGCATCCATTCCTATAAGAACAAGTCTATTGAGAAAAGTTATTGGTGTTTTCTATTTGTCAGTTCTTTNGTGCTATAGTATGTGATTTATGCCCAATTGGTAGCTATTGTGATAAAGCAGATGAACCACCAAAACCGTGTCCAGCAGGATTTTTTTGTTTGGAAGGACAAACAACGGGTACACCATGTCCAACTGGCTATCAAATAACATTAACAGGAAAAAGTTATTGTAGAATTTGTGCACCTGGTATGCTTAAAATATTTAGCAAAAAATAACACTTAATACTATTTCTATTGATTTTAATTTAGGTCATTATTGTCCAAACCCTGATGGTAATCCAATTCTATGTCAGCCAGGTTATGCAAATGATAAGCATGGCCGTGTTGAATGTGATCTTTGCCCGAGTGGGACCTTCGCAGATGTTGCTGGTTTAGCTTATTGTATCACTTGTCCACCAGGTTATATTTGCACGAATTCTAGAACGGCACCACTTCCTTGCCCGTCGAATAAAGCAAGAGGGCAAACAGTCTGTCCTACAGAATAAAAATAGCTATTAATGAATAGCCAACAATAAAATTTAATAATATGCTTCATTTTTTTTCTAATATTCATTTAAATATAATCCTGAAAGAAAGAAAATATGTTTTATAAAATGATATTTCCTGCTTATTTACAAATGAACTTCGTTAATAAACTCTGTTTTACTCATATATAACGCAAAGAAAAAAATTATAAAGTACATTGAAAGTTCACTGGCAAGATAATTCGATTTAATGCCTGCTCAGTAGAGTGTGATATTATAAATGTAAAACATAATCGATTTCATGAATCGTTTCTACTTGGAAAAGTCAGAAAAAAAATGTCACAGATGATGTGAGAAAAAATTCGGGATTTATGAAGTAAACGTCAAGAAAGTTTTAGCAAATTATTTTAGACTTACCTATTTTTCGGCATTTTTCTGTTGTAAAATATATCGCTTGTTGACAATGGTGCTTTGTTTTCGTAGTAGGAAAAATTAAATGTGTTCAGAAACAGCTGTTTAGTGATGAATCGATGAGGACAGAGGCTCGAATTTATAAGACAAGATGGTCAACCATGATGAAAAATAAAGAGCAAGAGTCGAGCAGAAAAGGCAATTATGTTGCCCTCAAGATATTTCGTTTTTGTATGTTGGGATTATGTACATGGAAGCTCATCATGCAACTATCGGTATACTGTGGTAGAATGATGGTGAAATGAAAGCCAACCGTTTAAGTGTGAAACTAAGACCGGTAATATCGAACATTACATCAAACGGTTTACCGGTTACATTTATTCTATCTGAATTACATGGAATCCTCTCAAATGTAACACAATCAGTATTCCCAATTGCAGTTGTATGATCTAAAAATGTTAAATATTCATTTGATTAAAGTTCTATTCTCTGATTGATGTTTATAATTTATTGAAACTAAATGCATTTTGGTTTATTACCCGACACAACAGTAACACGAGTCCAATAGCTGTTGAAATTAGAGAAAAAGATTTTATCAGTAGAAATTTTAAGACGCATAATACGTTCACAGTACACGATGAATATATATTCTAAATCATTGATAAGAATCAAATATACATGATGACTCATAAATAACTCTACGATAAAACAATTACGATATTCGTGGTTCAGTTCAATCAATAATGATGATCTTTTGGTTGAGAGCAGAAGTTTATTTAAAATTTGTTTTTCAAGCAAACTCCTTTGTTAAGTATTATTGTCAATGTCATTAAAACACTTTGCCTAATTTCAAGTAAGAAAAATACATATGAAACTTTCCACAGAAATTCCAATTGTTACTTCAGAAAATAATTAGAAGAAATCAAAACAAACTTTCTAAATAACATTGTATTGATGTGAATAAAAAAACAGATGAAATTCTTTTTTCATAACTAAAACACAGAATGAAAATCCTTTCCAGCACCAAAACATCAACATTCTTGAAGAAAATCAGTGTTCTATACTTGAAAATTCAAAATATTGTAATAGTTGACTTTTAAATCAATTTGTTCTGATAATTTCATCTACGTATATCAATGTACTATCATTCATGAAGGTTTTTCTATGAATTCTTCCCGTAATTCTCTGACAATTATAAAAACTAAAGCTTTTCTATGGAACACTTCCCATGTATTTCTCTTATTTGCCACTAGATAAAATCTTTTTAATGACGTCAAAAATAATACTTAACAGACAAATTTTGCTTAAAAAAACAAATTAAAATAAACTTCTAGTATCAATCAGATGATCAATGCATTTGATTGAGTCAAAACCAAGAGATTACATTTTTTTATAGGAGAATTATCTACGGATTATAGTATGTATTTCATACTATAGAGATATCAAAAGTTATTAAATTCGCAAATATTTTTAAGAGAAACAATTCTTGTTTTTTTCTGATAAAGAAAGATAAATTTCATGAAAAATAGAATACAATGACAATATAGTTCTATTCTTAGTAATATGAACTTTTGTGTATATATACAACTATTAATTACCAAATCAATTAATACTTAAATGGTTTTAGTCGTTCGATCATGTTAAATTAAATTGTTTTTAAATAAACAAATAAAGCAATTCGATAAAAGATAAAAATGAGAAAAAAATCAACATAATATTAGTTGATTTAACTGTTATCGAACAGCCCGATGTTGTTGGACATAAGCTTGACGATGATGTTGTTGGACGTAAGCTTGACGATGATGTTGTTGGACGTACGCTTGACGACGATGTTGTTGGACGTAAGCTTGACGATGATGTTGTTTGTGTTATAGTTATTATTGAACTCGTCATTATTGTTGAAGAAAGAAGAATATCAATTTGAGCACTAGCATTAGCTATAGCGTTATTAATTATGCTAATACTTGCGATTGTTAGTAGATCAAATTGTAAATCATCAAGTTGTTTTCTATTAATTCCTTGTTTGATAATCATATCTACTATACTTGCACCAACCTAATATGAATGAGAAGAATAGAAGAAAAAAAAATGTTTTTTTTTCAATATATTTTTCTTACGTTTTTATTGCCTGTTGTTTCATAATCATGAATACATGCAATCAATGCATTTTTATATCTGTCTGCATCATTAGAAAGACCTAATTCATTAGATGCTCGAATGCTTTCTGTTATGTATTGTTCACATATTGATTTAGACAATGATTGAATATTATTTTCTTCTTCGTCTTGAATACTATTTTCAATTTCGCAATTTTCGTTTGATGACATAATACAAAGACCGTTTGATTGACGAATTAAGTCATAAGACATACGCACACTTATATCATACCATTCTACCTATAAAATATAATATAAAAATTAATTAATTAATTTTTCATACAGAAATTCATGTTTTACTTGATATTGATGTGGAACTATCGAAATTTGTAATTGAGGTGTCATATATAATATATTAATTTGTGATGGACTTGGACGAGTTATTTTAATTTCTATTTGTAATATATTAATAAATAATGATATAATTCAATTCTAAATATTACCTGAACTATTACAATACTGTTCGTCATCAGTAACTGTACAAAGAACTGTTCCATTGTCTTTGAAAAATGTTACGCTAAACTAATAATAATATTTTAAAAGAAAAGAAAAAAAAAATATTTTTTTTTCATTTTTTGAATATTCAAACTTACTTTAACTATAAACCAAGTTCGATCTTGGACAATAGCTTTGATTTCAACATAATCATTTTTAAGAATACGATGTTCACCTGATATTTTACACCAATATTGATCTTGAGATCCATTTGATTGTTGTGGAAAACGAATAATATGTGGATCACCATAAACATGACATATATCCTTAGCTTTAATATTATCTGAAGTAGAAATTCGACTTCCAGCAAAAGTGGAAATATTCGTAGTTATTTTTGCTAAAAAAATGACAATAAAACATCATATATGTCAAATTCTTTAACTTACATGGTGATATTGGTGTATCTACTAATTTAATTATAGCCTTTTGAGAAATTCTATTTTTTAACGCGATATATGATTGTGAATCGTCAATAGTGACACTTTCCATAACACGATCATCAATAATTTGAAGAGTTTTTTCTAATGCATAATCAATTTTTTCCAAATATTTATTTATCTTATTTTCGTTTATGTCAAAATTATTGAGACTGTCGAAGAAGGATAACTGTAGAATACTTTTCGCAAACTATGTAAATACATAAAAGTTTACTGTATGAATAATTTCAATGTTAATTTTTACTTGTATATTTCCTGTTGATTTGAGATCATTGATACAAGATGTTATCGACACATCTTTAGTTGTTTGACTAATCAAAGGTAAATCAAATTCTCTCATCATCTGACGTACAAATTCATGATATTGAATACAAATCTCTTCAGCATGTTTATTGACAAAGAATTGTTCATATGTTTGATCAATCAAATTAAGTTGATTTCGATGTTGAATATCATCTATTGTCGAATGATCTATTTCACAATGTATTGATTCATGAACACATAATCCCTTTGATTGACGAATTATTGTTGAATTTTGTTGATATAATATTATATCATGGTACAGATCCTGTGAAAAAAAGAAAAGAATGAAATTAATACGAATATTACAATGATACTGTAACAATTTAATTTACATTTCCATAACGAACGATAATTATACGTAAAGATGCTATTGGATGAATGATTTGTGTGAGGAAACTCCATGTTTTCACTTGTATTTCTATATACATGATTTCGAAAATAAATATGAAAAATATCATCCTAAGAAAATTAAAAAAAAAGTTTTACCTCGATGGTCGCACGTATTTTGAGTATTATCAATTGTACATAAAATCTTAGTACGATCTTTAAATATCATTTTATACTAAATGACAATGAAAATAATGTAAAAAATTTGTGAATATTACATTTATTTCAAAAACTACACGTTTTCTCTATTATTTCTTACTTTTTCATTCCAATTCGGCAATTTTGTGACAGTAATAATAATTTGAATCCATTCATTTTCATAAATAATATGGTTACCTTCTCCTTGACACCACTGCAATGGTTGGGGTTGATCTAATCGCTTATTGTACATCCATAAATGAAGATTTCCATATATTTGACAAGAGCTCACTGCTAATTCATCATTACGGTCGCTAAAAGTTGCTTCACCTTAAATATATGAACTTGTAATTCTACATATTACTGTTCTAATTATTTTAATAGCGAAAAATCTGAGGAATTTATAGACTAATCTTCTACACAATCGTAGAAATCAATCTAATATAATATTGTTTTTATGAAACACAATCTAAAACGGTTGTTGAAATTTAGAAATAGAAATCTGGACTCGTACAGGCTTAATCATAGAACTAAAGCTTTCTGTAGAATTACTATGAAAGAAGATTGAATTTAAGATATCTATCTTTGACCTCCTTACCAAACTCACTGTAACGTATCAGTACATTCGAAGCTCTAAACTCAAGTATATCTTGTAGAATCCTTTGATTTATAATACATGTAGATCAATTGTGTTTTACATTTTAAACTTGCCAGGATTGCACTAACAGCCTTTTATAATAGAATACCACGTTACCTTGACGTGTGATACAGCATAGAAATATTATCACACAGATACTTTTGAGAATCTGTAACGTCGAATCCATAATAGAAATTCTAAGTAATAACAGTGTTGTTAAGAAAAAAAAAAAGTTAACTCGAAAATGATCGAATATATGAATATACGCAAACATTTATACGTATGTATTATTGATAAGAATTAAGTACTTAATCATCACAACAAGTGCATCCAGTGGGTGAAAAAACAAAATATTCTCACTCATATTACACCAAAATCTAAGCTTGATAAGTTCTATGAAAACATAAAATCTTGGTTTTTTTTGTGATCTATTGTTGGTAACTACTTATCAAATAATTCAACCAAATATATCTTATCTTGATTAAATAAACCATTTATGCCTATCTTAAGTAAAGTAGTTGCTTACAAAGGAGTGCAATAGAAGATATGATTAATCTGTAGACAGCATAAAAGCTAAGAATATAATATTATCTTATTTTGTCATGAAATTCATTCGACTATATAGAAATCGACGAAAAGAAAATTTGGTGAAAATGAACTAATTCGTTTGAATAACTGTCATCTGGAAAGGTATCTCATCGATTTACATCCATCGTTTCAAATTTGCTGTAAGGCAACAAACTCATTTAAATGAATGCATAAATGCTTACTAGCATTATTGATAATCATTTTAAAAATATTGATATTTTATTTTGGCCGGATCTGACTTCATCGCATTACTCAGAGGAAATACAAGAGTTTCTCAAAACTAATAACATCAATTATGTGCAATGTCATTAACACCCTTCAAATGTCGATCAAGCATAGCATATCGAAATAATTTGGTCATTATTTGAATAGAAGGTATATGATGGATCATGGAAAGCTAAAACTTTAAATTAGTTGAGCAAAAGAATTATTTTGAAGATAAAAGAACTCGATCAAGACTTGGTTACACATCTGATTTTTGGTGTTCGAGAAAAACTTTTGAAAATGTACAAAAAGAATGTTTACACTATTTGTTAATAGGTTTGTATAAACTATTTTTCATGTTCTTTCGAGTAGAAACCAAATCAAGAATGTTGGATGAACGCTTGCTTCATAGCATGTTCGGATATTTGTGCCGAGACTTTTGCATTATAGGTAAAATTTTGAAGTTTATTTAATAAGTGAAAAGATTTTGATAGAAAAAGTTAAAATTATGAGTTGTTTTTTTTTTTGTTGATACGCAACAAATATTGACCTTCATATGAATTAATCTTGAAAAATACTCGAGAAAGACGATAAATCACTAAGGATTGTTTTTTTCCTTGTTCTATTGTACAATGACTAATAAATAACATATCAAAACCAATACCTATGATTGAATTGTCTATAGAATTTGGATTTATACTAATCTATGCATTAGTTCGGAATGCCCTTTTTAGACAAAAAATAAAAATAAATGATCTGACAAGAGCATGGCTCATATTTTCACCTTTTCTACAGTGACACGAGAATGAAATATGCAAGGTAAAAAATAATCTGATGAAAAGAAAAAAATGAATTAGTTATAACTAAATATTGATTCTTTCTTTTTTTTCAAAAACTTCGACACAAATATAGTTTATTGAGTCTACACGCTGAAACATAAAGATCAAATATTTCTAATTTGAATTGGTCAGATATCTTAATTTGATGATTAATAATAATTTTTTTCAAAAAAAAACAAAAAAAATGTATCATTAGTTTCAACTGAATATATAAATGTGAGAATAGTCTGAGCTTTTTTATGTCGCACGTTTGTTCGTTGGTATACCATGGCAGAATGACGATCAAATGGTAATCGCCGGTAAAGCCCATATTAAACCGAACGATCTACCATTGATTTTTCTTCCATTCGAATGATATGAGCTATTTATAAAATAAAGCTTTTCATAATAATAGTACATATGTCGTATGTGTATAGTGTTGCCAACAATCTCATTGACGTAGATACTATATTAAGGCATATACCGTGAAAAAACTTACATAAATAAGGCAATGTATGATGAAAAACAGTTAGCGCAAGCTCTGTGGAGGTAAAACGTGAAATACAATGTAGCTGCTGTTGGTAATCACGAGATTAGTTGATATATTATAACAAGACGTTATTGATATACAGTTTTTGATGTTTTAATGGTAATGCTTGTCATGATCTGTGGATAGAGAGAATTTAAATTTCTATCCTTAAACTTCAGTACTCCTTGTAGATCATGTTTCACAAATGATATCATGAAAGACATGTTCAATGTTAATCGGCAATTTAAATTTAGAGAAAAAAACTATAATAATTTAACTATATGTTCCGAATACAACATTCAATGATGGATCTTTAAAGAAAACATCAACATTATTTCATACTTCTAAGCAGAAATACATGCCAATAATTATTCTTTTTTTTTTCTCACATCTGGAACAAATTCTTAGCATATGGCGATAAAAATTTTCGATAATTTTTAACATATTTTGTATTGATGTCCACAAGAAAAACAGAACAAAACGATTTTATACATACAAATGATTAAAGATTATATTACATGCGAAAAATCTATAACGAACAATAATTGAATACAGAAACAAAAAATAAAGATTACAAAGAGATTATACAGGGTACATAATATATATTTTTCCAGACGGATAGCCCTTTAATTTCCCAGAGCATAATCAATAAATTGTATATTAAATAAAAACTCGCCGAAAAGAAAAGACTTCTAAGTATAGTAGATATGTCATAGGATAATTATGGCCTTTACAATAATAGAATATTTCTAAATTTAATGCTTATAATAAAGTTCTTTCCTAGATACTGAATGATAAAAATATCAAAGTCCTAGAAGGTTTTTTTCACCTATCAAATTTTATCGAGTTTTCATTGATGATGATGATAGTATTAGAGTTAAATTTCTAGAAAATATGAACACTTTAGCAATTAGAATGTATGAAGTTTAATAATAAATCTTAGCTTTCGAAATATTCTATTATTCTAAAGATAATCATGATCTTATGAATTATCAATTACACTCAGTAATTTCATTTTCGATGAGATTTTTTTTAAGAGTATAAAATTTATAGATAATATGTTATTTGAAATTCTATTAATGCTTACTTGGAAAAATATTGTTAAATACTCTGTATAAATGTATAGGTTGCAGCGAGATTGATGATCTCGAAGTACTGACTAGAAAAAGAAATGATTAAAAAAAAATTTTTTTTTATGGTTCTCGTTTAAAGTCATTTAATATTGGCATTGATGTTGTTGATAAAAATGAATCAAAATATGGATATGGATGAGATGGTTGAAGAAAAGAAACTTTTGAAGATGACGATGATGATGATGATGAATCTTTTCTTGATGTCATCATTGTCATTGTAATAGGTGTCTTATTTATTAAATTATTTTCATTTGAATTTGATATTTGTTGATATTGTAATAAACGTAATTTATTTTCTTCATCTGAATCCATTGATATACCTGTATGAATAGATAAATTATTATTATGTTCATTTATTGGAATAACATCACAATCATTTGAATCATCAATATTATCTGTATCCTCTTCTTCACTCCAAGAACTAACATCAACAGATGTTGTTTCATTTTCTGTATAACGTAAACATTTTTTCTTTCGTCTAAACGAAAAATAAAATCAAACGAAATTTTTATATCGAATGTTTTTTTTTTTTGTTGTTTTATATTAAATAGTACTTGCAATGTTTACACCAATTTGCTTGTTGATCAAGACCAAATCTAGCTCGACATTTTTTTTGATTAAGACATTCTTTTCAAAAATAAAAACAACAATACTATAAAGAATAATTTTAATAAATAAATTAGATTACCTCCATTTTCACCTGGATTTTTTTCTCGTTTTTTTCCTTTACTTCCACGTTTTTTTCTTGCACCATAATTATCTCTTGCTGACCATCCAGGATATAATTGCATGTGTCTCATACGTTCATCACGTGCCATATCATAGTATTTTTGTTGAACATTACGATCAAGTTCATGCCACTAAAGAAAAACAGCTCAAAATAACTTAAATTTTATTTTCAACCCGTGTCACATATATATTCACACTACCGTCGACATACCTGCAGAGGACTACTAGTCACAGAACAATTATCGGTATACTCCAGTACAATGTCCGTCAAAGGATAATCAACCATTTAAGTATAAATCTACCGTCGGTTAGTCACCGTTACAGAGTGCAGTATAGCGAACGGTTTTATCTGGTTCAGATCACATCAGAACTCGTGTTGCACGTTTGTTTGTACTACTGCCAGTACCATAAGTGTTGACGGTATACTGTTAGTAGAACTGACCTTCAGAAAACAACTATCGATTTACCACGCTAGAATAACGATCCTAGAATAACCGACCGTTTAAGTGTTAAACAACGGCTGGTATAGCACATGTTTTATGGAACGATCTATCGATGGCTTTTATCTGGTTCATCAAATCGCGTGGGCATCTATGTTGCATGCTTATTTGTACTAGTGCTGGTATGCTGGAAGTAGATTGTCGTTCAGAAAAAAACAAACAGTCATAGGATAACTAACAAATTAGATATCAACTACCATTAGTATAGCGGACATTGCACCGAATGGTCGACTGATGGTTTTTATCAGATTCGAATCATATGAACATTTTTTTTTAAATTTTTACCTTTCGACCAAGAATTTGATTAATTGCAGCACTTTCACGTAATGTACATTCTTGTACAACTTGTGCTCGTTGTTCTTTCATAAATAACATAAAAGCATTTAAAGGTTTTTTTATATGAGATTTTTTTTGTTTATTATCATCATGAAATACGGATTGTTTAGACTGTTGTTGAGGACTATTGTCTATAATACGTCGAATATGTGTTGATCGTTTTTGTAATGATGGAATTGAATGAGATGAAGAATTTTGAGATAATGAATAATTTGGTGGAAATACAAATGGAAACATAGGTGGACGCCTGCAATAAATGTTTTTAATTAAAAATCACAGAGAAAATAAAAGAAAAAAATATATACCAATGTTGAGAATATGGTGATTGAAAAGACGTGGGTGATGGTAATGGATACATTGCATTGGGTATACCTTAATGAGCAAAATTTTTAATAGAATATACTAAAATAAATTAATATTTATAAAAAATTTTAACAACATATCTTAGAATTTATATAATGATGATCATTCGTCAATACTATGTTTGATCTGTAGAGATGTAACCATACGAGCCTAAGCTTCCACTACACACAGTCGAGTTTTCTGTAAAAAGAGGCTTCAGCTCGCCTCAACTTTTTCTCTGATTACGCTACTATTTTGTTGATAGGAATGTATGCCGATGTATTAATCAGCAGCGACGGTGGCTCAGTCGATAAGCTTATATCTGAATATGTTGAATACGACTTCAATACCAATTGTACAACTTACTTCAAGGAAGATGCATTGAACTTCAAGAAACTTTACAAATCATATGAAATTTCTATACAATGCAGAAAAAAAGCAATGCCTATAATATGACGATCGAAAACAGTCTTCGACTTTCGTTTTTAAAATTCTTTTTCTCGCTATGTTGATGAATGAAACATTTTACTATAGAAATAAACAATTTCATTAAAAAAAGAATTTAATAATTAATTATAGTGCATGAGATCCGATGAGACAAAATTCAATAATGTTCAATCAAAGTCTTGATGCCTGCCAAAAGATTGATACATATTCTAACACCAAATTAGTTTTTACTTATTATATCACATCTTTTTAGAATTATTTTTTACTATAAAATCTATTGATCATTTTTTATTAGAAGATTTTTATTTTCTGAATCGTGATTCGAAGAATAAATTTTTTTATGATCAATGAAAATTTTTATAGAAAAAACTTCATATTTATATCATAGACCTTTATGTAATGTAAGAAGTAAATCATTGAATATATCTTTATTATTTATTTAATGTTAAAAATGTATTTTTAACTTTTAAGTTGACAAATTTTAAATACGAAAAATGAGATTCTATTCATATATATATTTATACGTTAATAAAAAGAAGAAAATTTTAAAAATAGAATATATGAATAATTCAACTATGAATATATCTCAATTAAGATCAAAGAGAAAAAAAACTCTCGTTTCTTTTTTAAAGTGCAATGCGCACGAATTGTTTTTATCATTAGGAAAAAAAAAAGAGAATAAATTTTGAATTTGTTTAGAATAAAATAAATTTTTGTTTATCAAATATAGACGATTATCTTGATTATCGGACATATTCTCCATTTCCACTTTTTCTCATGTATCAAATTGAACATTCTCTTTTATTCTATCATTCATATTCATTGTCTTGTATCTCGTTAACAAGATCATTTTCCACTTTGTTAAACGTCAACTAACGACATGTATGTGTATTAGTATTGCATGAATAATCACGCTTGTTTACTAGTAAAAGACCACCTTTTTTGTTCTTGCAATTGATCGATTTTCTTTTTCTTTTTTTTTTTTGGTGACAAATATAGAAAGAAAGATTTATCTAATGAAGTACTAAATGTATTTCCTTTTTTTTTTTTTGATTGTTTCGTCTTCCCGACTGACGAACGATTGTTGACTAATAATTGATTTACATCTATTCATCGAGTGTGTGAAAGCGAGACGTTTGTTTTAAAGTATAATGTCATGAAGAATTCATAATAAATGATTAACCTCTTTTTTCTCTCTCTTTATATGTATGTGAAGAGTTCGAGCGCAAGCAACTTCACCTCATCATAAAACAATTAGTGAACAAATGCGTATATATATATGTATGTCGGATGAGGAAAAAAAAGAAGAAAAGACAAATGACAGTATTTTCTGAATAATATGTAGGCTCGCGCTTACCTGTATTTTGATCAATGCCTAAATTAGAGTTGGATATATGAGCCGGTGGTGGAGACATGAATTTTGATAAAGATTCTAATGAAGCCAATTTGTCCTAAAAATAAAATTTTCAATTAATATTCAAATAATTTAGTTGATATTAAAACTCATTGTTGAGAATATTTCGATGATACCAAACGAAATTTTCAGCTTAGAATAAACATAACTACGTATTAATTCGTGCGCAATAGACTCATCTCTTTTGTTCAATACATTCAAAACGGATATATTAAAAACATTCACTTGATTAATTTTTTTTTGTTACTCCAATTTCTTTCTATTTTCAATAGATAACCTTTGATGATAAACAAATTTTCTTATTTCAATCATGAAATAGCTCAATACCGTATTGTTATCTTGTTTGTTGGCTGAACTATACAAATGTTAATTAGAAACAATCCATAGATAAATCTTCTCTGTCTATCCTATATAATATAATCAATCTAAAGTAGATAGAATTCTCGTTTTTTCCTCATAGATCATCGAGATTTATATATTAGATTTCCTTTTTTTTTTTTTTGTATGCGTCAAGGTGAAAGTACATGCAATGTTCATCTGCATTCGATCATTCAACAAAAACACTTACAAAAGATTGTGTTGCATTACTTGGATGATAATATGGTGAAATAAAATATGGAAAAAAACTATGCAATTGTTGTTCACTGTTCAAACGATCTTTCATAGCAAAAACAAAATATAAGTTTTTGTTTTTTAGTTTTAAGAAAATCTTTCAGTATAGTTACCAGTAAGATTTGTTGATGATGTTTGTTGTGGTGATGACTTAAAGATAAATATTTTGATATTGAAAGATATGAAAATAATTTTTCTTACTTCTTCTTCTTTAATAACAGGTGAAAGTCGATCATTATCTTCATCACCATCAATATCAACATCTTCTTCATGTTTTTCACATTCAAATATTTTAACTTCATCATTATCTATTATTGAATTACTACTACTACCACCACCAGGATCAGAAATAGTTAATGATGGTGAAGAATTATCAATTGTTGTTGCTTTTATTGATGACATTGATCGTTTCGATGAAGATTTTATTGAAAGATCAAGTGTTAAATCAGTTGTATTAGACTGAAAATAGAAAATCTTTGATTATAAACGAAGAAAAAAAAATATAAAGCGGACCTTCAGATAACTTTAGTTCAACAAAGAGAACTAGTCCGACAGAAGGATCATTTTCTCTCCCTCTCTCTCTTTTCTCTCGTAAAAAATAGAGGGAAAAAAAAGAAAAACTTACTATGAAGATATTTGTCGGCATTATTAATTATATTCTTTAACTATCATGATTTGATTGTTAGGTATTAAAATACTAAAAGAAAACGAAAATGAATGAGTATCAGTTAAAATTAATTATAAGAAGAATCTTATATTTAAAGAAATTTCTTTTTTTTTTGTAGTCTGACAAAATTATAAGAAATTGAAGACTTATGAATTCTTTTTTTTTTTGTTTTATGTGTAATAATGATAATGATGATCATATATAGAAAGGTTAGTCTTTGGAGAAAAAAAATAACAATTGAATTATACGATGGCCTTCATGTGAAAATGAAGTGGCGGGCACCCATCAAAACTGACCAACATTCATTATTCTTTTCTCTATAGCGTGCGTACACATACGCTCGCGTTGACCTTCAATGTATTGTATAGTGTGTTTATCCAAAGAACAGACAACTTAAAAGCGACGTCCATTGGCCAGCAAACGAATGAGAGAAAAAAAAAAAGAAAGAAAATTTTTGTTCTTTCATCTCTATTCTTTTCGATATATATCTATGAACATTTTTCTTCTCTTTTTTTCCTTATTCAATCATACATTAATTCTTAAATAGATTATAAAATAAATATAAAAGAACAAAAAAAAAACTTCGGGCTATTTTATATAAATATCTTTAGAAATAATATTTGAATAAAAGAATGTTTATATTGATGTATAACAAATTATTTGCAATTTTATAATTCGATATAGGATGTCTCGGCAATGCGAAATTTGGGGAAAAGGTTTTTTTTTTGACATATTTACACGATGTTTGAGAAAAATTATGTTTAGAAAAAACAGTATTGAAATACGCAAAAAGCATAAAGTTTTAGTAACTTTAATATGTACAGAATCCGTTTTTTGTTTTAATCTTCATATATTTAAGAAAAACATTCTACATTCTTTTTGAAAAATATTGTTTAGAAAATCGATGTTTTTTTTTTTTGTCCTAGAAAATGGTCGAAAAGTATTTTAGAAAATTCTGACTAGAGAGAGATATAAATTATTGTATAAGATAATAATAACATTCTAACAGTGATCAAACATAAGCGAATTGATAAAAAAAATGAAAAAAATGATAAAGTGTCATTTTTTTTCTTTTAGCAAAATACTCTATAGCGATTATAAAGCCATCATCATATCGTTCATCAAGATTGTCCAGGCGACATTGAATTGCAATGAAATAGCTGGCGATTTCGGTTGAGTTAAATCTGGTGAAGATGGAACAGCTACAGTCATGTCAATAAATTTTTACTGGAGACATCATGTTTTTTGAAATTTGTTTTTTTCAATACAGCGAATAGTATACTTAATGCTGAAAACTAATGTTCATCAAATTTTGACGTAATGGGAAGCACAGTTTAGACTATTCGAAAGTAACAGTGAGAAGGTGTAAAGACCAGGATTATCAGATTCAAAAATTAGAAATCGAAAAAATTGGATTCATTATTATACTATTTCGGAAAATATTTTGAAGGGAGTCATGTGACGTTTAAATACGTAATTATATATCGCTTTCTTTTTGAAATATGTTTTTGTTTTTTTATAATTTTAGGTGAAAATTGTTACTGATAAAGTTTTTTTTCTTGTGGAAAAGTATAACTTCTGTAACTGCAATTTAGTTCATGTTTAAAATTCAAATAGCTTCTTCTCACGATACCGAATATCTTGTTTAGTTTGGAAAGATTTTAGATTCATGAGAGCATGTACTAGTGGTGGTTTCAAAACTTTATACTATCAAATGATTACAGTTAAATACTGATGGTACATTAATTGCCGGTAGAAGATAAATTAGAAGCTGTAATCAAACTTATGAAAGTTCCAATCTAGAAACAAAATACAATTTGGGAAAATTTTGAAAAGTCGGAATACGTTCGGAAAAAATGTCATAATTCGGAATTTTTTCTGCTATTTCAGAAAATCTAGAAATCTTAGTAAGGACCGAAATTTAACGAAAATTACTTTTATGTATTGAGTATACTATTTGATGCAGATTTTGCATTGATTCTGAATATAATATTCGTTTGTTTTGTAACTGATGTTCTGATGATCAAAATATTAGAATACAAATCTATGTTTATGGTGTCTTGTCATCATATAAAAAACGGAGTTTCTTAATGATCTTTTCAAAAATCATCCATACTTTTTTCCCTAATTATTCGACATGTAGTATCAAAAGTCAAATTCGAATAAAGATTGAGATTACCAAGACTTGATACTTTTGTCGTATTTCAATCTTACTTTTTTTTTAATCTGATTTTCCTAAAAATATCATCAGAATATGTCAAAAACAAGATTTCTATAGAGACTTCGATGAGTTCTATCCAATCAGAACAAAAAAAATTGTTGCTCAAATTTCGAATCGCCGATACCTTAAAAAGCTTCGTATGTACTAGTGAAGACTTTAAAAATTCGTCGACGATTTACAATTGTTTATCATAATTCGTGTCCTTGTCACAATGAGCTTCAATAACTTTTATTATAGCAAAAAAGAAACTTGTTTATTATTTCTTCTATATTTTCATTTGCTCCATATGCTTCAATTGATATATCTCATCGTTGCTTCTTATAATGCAAGAGTTTCCAAAATTATTCAACCAGATTTTTTTTCGCTATCATAAATGCTAAAAAGAATACAAACCATTTGAATGGTCTGGAATGATAGAGGAAACAATGCTCTACAAAGGGAGTGTCTTCGAACTTTCTACAATGTATTTTGGCTGAGATACATCAACTTTACGAAAGGCACTAAAATTGTGTTTCCATAAGAAATAATAGAAAAAAAAACGTCGTAAAGAGCTGAGAGACATTTCACTTTGCGCAGAATTGCTTACTTCACCATTCTAATAGAGTTCTATTTTCAGATTTTAGGAGCTGAAAAACTTGGTTTTTTAGAGATCCTTCCCTTGAAAAATTCTTGTTGGAAACAAAATTCTCTATTAAATTTTCTATTTGAATTCTTCTTAGAATTTATTGCAGAATAAAAAAAAATTGAAAATAAACCAAATCACACCATATTGCAAGTTATTGTATAATGTCATTTACTTTTACAATCGTACCAATTGACTAACAATAATAAAACGATATGATCAATGTTGATTCAGTAAGTATTTAACTTGTAAAACATTACATATAGATTTTGAAATCTAATTTTTTATTCTAAATGTAATTTTCTAATTCAATAAAACATGAAGATTAAAACAAAATTATTCTCAAGGTTAATGTTAAATTTTTTATCAATATAATTCCGTGCATTCAATACTTTTTCTAAAAAATCAAAATCAAAAACTGAAATCATATTAATCATTAATTGTTGCACTGATCAATAAAGAAAAATGAACCATCTGTATATCATTGAATTTATTTTTCTATTAATCATTTGTTGATATAAATAAAAGACACTACCACCTTGTTCATAATCATGTACATAACAAATATATACTTTAACGTCTGAAATAAGTTTGTTTTGAAAGAAATGTTTTATCATTTCATGGACATATTTCAATAATTGCGTATTTTAGCATTATATACATAGAAACTAAAGAAAAAAATAACAAAAAAAAAGAAGAAAGAAAAACGAACACATACATGTGAGATCATTTTCAAATTTAACATCGATTACTAAGACCATGCATGATACACATAGGTTTTTTTTTATAAATGTACATCTTATATTTCATATAAATATATAGAAATCATTTGAATTACACTATAACAGAATCCAAAATGAGTGATGGTTTCTTTTTTTTTTTCTTATGAAATATAATTGACTGATTACGGATGAACATCCTTCATATGAAGTCAATTGTTGTCTGTCATCTGTTTACTCTCATTCTATTGTTTGTAATATTGTACAATGCTAGAAGGATACATCAACAGGTGCTAGATTCTTTTATTCTATGATATAATCGATAGCAATCAACGATACAACATTAGGTTTTATTCATACAAACATATAGGTACTCATTATTATTGTTGTTATTATTAACAAAACATTCATACTGACATAAATAAAGAAAAGAAAAATTCTTATTAAAAAAAAAAAAAAACAATTTTTTTTTCTTTTAATAATTACAGGTAGGTATAATCAGTAGATATTATAAACCAAAAATTATTTTTGCGTTAGTATTCTTCTTATATGTTCAATTGTCTTATATAAGCACAAACCCTAAACAGTTTAAATTATTGGTAAAAATCTGAAGCGGAAAAATTTCACTATAAGTTATCCATAGAAAGAATAGGATGATATTGTTTTGCTTGACGTTAAGACAATCAATAGAATGAAAATTCATTGGTTTGAATGTGAACCATTTTTAGCTTTGGCTCAATTTTGTGCTGTAGTGTATTATTTATTAGATTATTCTTTGTTTCTTTTCTCCATCAACAGTAATTTTTCCGCTATATTTACTGCACAGTAAAAGAAAAAGTCAAAATAAATCTTTATCATGCCAAAGAGTTTGGATGTATGCCTAGTCTCATATCAGATTCATAACCAATGTATATTGACATTATAGACAAAAGAGAAAAAGCAGTACAAGATAGGAGACATAGAAATATAAAAAGAAAAGGTCTCTCTCTGTCTCTCTGTGTGTATCTTATAGTCAACAGTAGTTTCATAACAATTGATTATTTTTTTTACAGTTGCTATATGTAAAGATTCTATTTCATTATCTGTTACTACTCGGAGTAAGACGATAAAAATGACAACATTCATTGTCCTTCTTTCTCGGCTTTGAATGACATGATCGAGAGTAAATGATGATAGGTGTATATCCTTGTTGGCTTGATATATACTCAATGTTTGGTAACTTGAGCATATTCTGCATGTTACATAGGCAACTGTACAAAAACAGACGTCATTTCTTTTTTTTTTCTTGATTGACTTGTGTTAGAACAGATCGATAAGTGAGTTAAATATGAATCAATGTACGGTTTTTTTCTTCGACATTGAACCTTCAACTTGGATGATTATTGTTAACAGGACAAAAAGAGAAAGAATATAAAAT